TTCTGGCTGGGTTTGGGTTCCTCTGTTCGTGTCCTTTCAAACTGTCGGAGCTGAGAGCCTGAATCCAGAAATGTCTTGAAAGTCACCACACACACAGGCAAACAGTATCTCTGAGGACTCTGACTTCTTATTGGAGGAGTCTCTATCATTTTCTATTACTTAAATTTCCTCTTCAATTTTTTTATTTTGGACTATTTGGACGACATAGCATCATACGGTAACGTCTTCAAATGTCATTTTTTGTCTGACTGATGCTACAAAACTCAACTACCATATAAGACCATGAGAAGTAGAAAGTTCTCACATTTCACAGCCTTGAACCATCAAACAATGACTGCGCGTTTTGGGGCACCAAATGTGGGTGTTTTGTAGCAGCATTAATGATTTTCCAGCAGCTTCATTTGAGAACAAACATGGATGTTTTGTAGCGACTGGTGGTTGTTTTTCCAGCTGCTTTCTAAGCACCAAATTAGCTGGGTTTTTTTTTTTTTTGCAACTTGTGGCTGTTTCCAGCTTCTTTTTAGGCACCAATCGTAGGTGTTTTGTTTTTTCACAGCTGCATATTAGGCAACAAATGGGGTGTTTTTTAGCAAATCGTGGCTGTTTTTCCAGCGTTTTTTGGGGGCACCAAATGTGGATTTTTGAAGTAACTTATGGCTGTTTTTACAGCTTTTTTAGGCACCAAATGTGGGTGTTTTATAGCAACTAGTGGCTGTTTTTCTAGCAGCTTTTTAGGCACCAAATGTGGGTGTTTTGTAGTAACTTACAGCTATTTTTCCAGCTGCTTTCTAAGCACCAAATTAGCTGGGGTTTTTTTTGTTTTTTGTTTGCAACTTGTGGCTGTTTCCAGCTTCTTTTTAGACACCAATCGTAGGTGTTTTGTTTTTTCACAGCAGCTTTTTTAGGCATCAAATGTGGGTGTTTTATAGTGACCAGTGGCTGTTTTTACAGCAGATTTTTGGGGCACCAAATGTGCGTGTTTTTCTAGCAACTAGTGGCTGTTTTTCCAGCTGCTTTTTAGGCATCAAATGGAGGTGTTTCTAGTGACCACGCACTGTTTTTCTAGCGGCATTTGAGGCACCAAATGTGGGTGATTTTGATGACCCATCACTGTGTTTCCAGCTGCTTTTTAGGCACTAATCATGGTTGCTTCATAGGGCCTAATCATTTTTTCCACTGGGGATAACAGTACAAAAAGCAGTTGTTTTTCCCCCCAAGACATCACTGCTTTTCCTGCTGGGATTGTGTGAGTATTTTAAGCCAAAACATGATCTTTTCCTGACAATAACCAAATGACTTTTGTGCCTAAAAAAACCCCCCCACATTACACCACAGTGTTGAAACATAAATTTTCACTCTAACATTATAATGTGCAAATATAAAGTATCCATGGTTTGCAGAAACATACAGGGCCAACATTGTTTCTGCCAGTTGGTTTTCACCAACAACACTTTTTTTGCACCTGGAACCAAAACGTGTCTTTCCACACTGAAAAAGAAGTTAGTTTGATGTACATTGTTTGCAGACCAGCGTTCTGCTGCGGGGAAAAGAGCTGTTTGTTCGACTAAATCACAGAATGAGGCTGCGACAGATGGAAAGGGAGACATGTGTCCCATCCTCCACCCGACCGGGGCTTTAAATTGGCCAAAATTAATCTCTGAGGTCGTGTCTGCTCATAGGAAGGGCAGAACTGGAAATGAAATAGCCATTTGAAAACACTAATCTTGACAGTTCAGTCCTGAAGACCTGAAAGTGTTAAAAATGAACAGCATTCTCGTTCACAGGCGCTGTCTTTCTTCCTGTCTTGAACCTTTGGTGTAAACTTGACACATTTCCTGACATCACACCTCAAATATAGAAGTGCTGAGGTGATTTTCTGTGTTGATCCTCCATCGCAGCTCCAACCCTGCGTTTAGTTTCTCCTCCACTGGAACAAACATCATTGATATTCTTGAGCGGCTCCCTCAGGGCGCCGGCAGCCGGGGAAAACAGCGAGCTGGTTGGGGGCTGTTCAGTCATACAGAGCAGCAGGATTAAGACGGTGTGAAAGAGAGGAGCCGTCATTGTGGAGGCTGGCGTTATGTAAGAATGTATTCAGACATGCTGCTGCAGGTCTGGAGACACCTGAGAGGGACCTGCAGATGAGGAATGATGATGAGGATAATGTTAGTGACGGTCCTGTGTGTTTGTCGAGGCTGATGTTAATCCTGATCTCGACTCCGGCTGCACAACAGTCGGTCGAATCTCATTATGTGTGTGTGTGTGTGTGTGTCTGTGGCGAGCAGACCACACAGATACAAACAGGGATTATCGATGGGAGCTGAGACTGTTAACAAGTGATCAGCGTGAGGACGATTAAAGCGCCTTTTATCCTTCATCCTGGTTAAGACAGAATATTTGGCAAATGAGTAAAGAGGTGAAGAGAAAAAAAACAAATGGATTTAGACGTTTAATATTTTTCAGAATTCCTTAAGTTCATTAAGAAGAGATTTTCCAGCGAGTTGAGAAGTTTAGAACAACAGAGCTGCTGTGAAACAGTTGTTTAACTTCTTCTGCAGTTCTGAAGGGAGGTTTCTAAAGTCTGAAATATGAAGTCCGAAATGAAAGATGTGCCACGATGCATCATGGGAAATGTGGGATACAGTGGTTTGTAACTTCGACCCATTCTAAAGACCAATGTTTCATTTCTACTGCATGGTTCGAATAAACTTCACCAAACATGGGTGTTTTGTAGCAACATGTGACTGTTTTTCCAGCTGCTTTGTAGGCACTAAAGGTGGGTAAGTTTTGTAGTAACCAGTGGCTGTTTTTCCAGGGGATTTTTAGGTATCAAACATGGGTGCTTTTCGTAGCAACTTGTGGCTGATTTTCCAGCTGCTTTTTATGCACTAAATGTGGATGTTTTGTAGCGACCAGTGGCTGTTTTTCCAGGGGATTTTTAGGTATCAAACATGGGTGCTTTTCGTGGCAATTTGTGGCTGATTTTCCAGCTGCTTTTCAGGCACCAATGTGGGTGTTTTATAGTGACCAGTGGCTGTTTTTCCAGCTGCTGTTTAGGTATTAAACATGGGTGCTTTTTGTAGCAACTTGTGGCTGATTTTCCAGCTGCTTTTTAGGCACCAATGTGGGTGTTTTGTAGCGACTAGTGGGTGTTTTTCCAGCAGCTGTTTAGGTATCAAACATGGCTGCTTTTTGTAGCAACTTGTGGCTGATTTTCCAGCTGCTTTTTAGGCACTGAATATGGGTAAATTTTGTAGCGACTAGTAGTTGTTTTCCAGTGTCTTTTTAGGCACCAGACGTGGGTGTTTTGTAGCAACTTGTGGCTGCATTTCCAGCTGATTTTTAGGCACCAATGTGGGTGTTTTGTAGCGAGTCATGGCAGTTTTTTCAGCAGCTTTATAGGTGTCAAACGTGGGTGTTTTTTTTTTAACAGCTAGTGGCTGTTTTTCCAGCAGCTTTTTAGGCACCAAATGTGGCTGTTTTTCGTAGCAACTCGTGGCTGATTTTCCAGCTGCTTTTTATGCACTAAATGTGGATGTTTTGTAGCGACCAGTGGCTGTTTTTCCAGGGGATTTTTAGGTATCAAACATGGGTGCTTTTCGTGGCAATTTGTGGCTGATTTTCCAGCTGCTTTTCAGGCACCAATGTGGGTGTTTTATAGCGACCAGTGGGTGTTTTTCCAGCTGCTGTTTAGGTATTAAACATGGGTGCTTTTTGTAGCAACTTGTGACTGATTTTCCAGCTGCTTTTTAGGCACTGAATATGGGTAAATTTTGTAGCGACTTGTAGCTGTTTTCCAGTGTCTTTTTAGGCACCAGACGTGGGTGTTTTGTAGCGAGTCATGGCAGTTTTTTCAGCAGCTTTATGGATGTCAAACGTGGGTGGTTTTTTTATTGTAACAGCTAGTGGCTGTTTTTACAGCTGCTTTTTAGGCACTAAATGTGGGTATATTTTGTAGCGACTAGTAGCTGTTTTCCAGCATCTTTTTAGGCACCAGACGTGGGTGTTTTGTAGCAACTTGTGGCTGCATTTCCAGCTGCTTTTTAGGCACTAAATGTGGGTATGTTGTGTAATGACAAGTGGCTGTTTTTCCAGCAGCTGTTTAGGCACCAAACGAGGGTGGTTGTAGCAACTAGTGACTGTGTTTCCAGTGTCTTTTCAGGCCCTAAATGTGGGTGTTTGTAGTAACCAGTGACTGTTTATCCAGGTGATTTTTACACACTAAATGCTGATGGTTTTTGTAGCGACTTGTAGCTGTTTTTACCCAGCAGCTGTTTCTGCACCAAATGTGGGTATTTTTGTTGTGATTAGTGGCTGTTTTTCCAGCTGCTTTTTAGGCACCAATGTTTGTGCTTTTTTTTTTTTTCTTGTGAACACGATATCTGACGAACAGCTGAAAGAAAACTTCCACTTTTTAACAAAATTTAGTCAAACGTAGATATTATTATCAGTATTTATCAAAATCAGTTGGAATTTAAGTCATTTATGAAGCAAAGATGTGAAACACACTTCCAGCTGCTCAGTCGTGAGGATTTTCTGTTTTACATCATTTTAAACAGATTATTTTTGGGTTTTGGACTGTTGGTCGCACTCTGAGGGATCTTGGGATTATTGATTTTTTTATAGACTAAAATAGTTTGTCTGGAGGCGCGTGTTCGATGCCGCCCTCTCAGCAGACTGTTGAGGTGAAAACACAGTCTAACATGGACAAAGACCTCAGTGTCTTCCTCCTCCTCCTCCTCCTCCTCCTCCTCCTCCTCCTCCTCCTCACTGCTCCCCCATCAGCAGATTCTCCACATTCTGTCCAATCAGAGGAAATGACAGCCAGCAGCCACACGTGGTTTTCCTAACTGGAGCAGCAGATTCACTCTTCGCCTTACGTAACCTGCTCACTGAGTGTCTGAGGAGGTGTGAGAACGCCTCGGCCTCTCGGCGGCCGCCGGTCGTGCCTCATCCCTCGGAGTGGCGTGGGTGTTTGTGGGTGAGAGCCGTCAACCACTGCGCAAACGATCGAGTAATGTTGTTTTTGTTCTGTTATGAAGTCATGTGAGTCACCTGTGAGTCACCTTCTTCCACTGAAGTGCTGCCTTTTTTTTTGGAGGACTAATAATTTCTCTGATGGTTTGGTTTCATTTGACTGGTTCAGATCTCAGCAGAGATTTTCTGACACAGAGCTTTTGTTCAGTTCTTGGTGCTGATAATTTGCCCCGAGCAGACGTCATGACCTGTTGCCTCTGGATTTAGGCCCAAAGTGAGATGAAGATTTGAAGGAAGATCCAAAATCTCCCTGTTTCTATGGGGAAGATAATCATTTTGAAAATGCAGCAAAAACAAGATTACATAATGCTCTTATACTGCTCTCTGAACGCTCTGAGCAATTAGATAATTAGCTTTAGTAATGATTTCTGACATGTTTAAGGTCTATAGAATTTAGTGGCATCTAGCAGTGATGCTGCAGAACTGAACATGGAGAAATTTGGTGGCAAAATGTAGTAAATTAAGAAAAATTAAATGAAATAAAATGACAGAAGATAAATAAATTAACAAAAAAATGAAGTAACAGAAAATCAAATAAAATCAAATAACAGAAAATCAAATAAAATGAAATAAAATAACATAAAATAGAATAAAATAATGGAAAATAAAATAACAGAAAATCAAATCAAATAAAATACTTATTTAGTTAATCCGTTGACACCTGAGCAAATTGGCTAAAACATGACAAAAGAAGGAATGAGCCAAAAAATTAGACATTAAAAAATCAGTAAAAAGAGAAAATTAAAAACAAGAACATTAGCTAAAAAAGTTAAAAACAATCAAGTAAAAGACCTGGAAAGAGTGTTTAAAAATTCTAATAATTCTGTAACATAATTTAAAAATGTAATAATAGTGATAATTATAGATATAGTTTTCCTCAAGCTTTTTACCATGTTTTTTTTAATTCATTTTCATTAGAGACATTAGAGAAGTCATTTAAAAGTTTTTAAATTTTGTCCATGAAAATGTGTCAGAACCCTGAATATCAGTGAAGTGTTTCAGTAATGGAGAGAAAATGTTGTTAGCCTTCTGCAAATCGGAGCTGAAGGCTCACGGCTGTGGCCTCAAGTTCATGTTTATGTAGCAAACGTTAGCTAGAGCCTCGGATCACGGTGTTCTCCGCCTCACTCCCCACCGCTGCAGACCACCTCCGGCAGGTTCAGCAAACTTTCTGTTGCTGCCGTTACACAGGTTAGACCCCATGGTGCTGCCGCCTACCAGCCTGCTGTGACATCTTGTGCAGGGGGGTTTGTGCTGGCTGAATTTGAGCTGCGACAGATGCCGACTGAACGTCCGTCTCCTCCCAGGGAAACAGTCCACAGTGACGGGGAGTGAGGCGGAGGGACCGTGGGGTCGTTAGCTCTCTAATTTTTGTCTCATTTGCATTCTGATAAAAGAGAGCTCCACAATGAAATCAGATCAAATAAATCAATATATGCGGAACACTGGGTAACTGTATGCAGCACGTGTATGTGGTCGTCTGGTGGGTGGGGCTAAGAACGGAGCGACTCCAGACTTCTGCCTCCACAGCTCTAGACGCAAGGTAAGCTGCACAAATTGCAGTGAGGTGAGAGTAAGACCTGACTTCACCTCCTTCACAGATCAGTGTTCCTCCGCCACCTCTCCAGCGGTGTCATGCTGCTGCTGCTGTCATGTCCTCACCGTGTCCATGTGTCTGTCTGACGGAGACACGTGATGACACACATACGAACATGCAATGATCCTGCCGCCACCGGCCTCACGCTGCCCTGCACACGGTCACGTTTCCCCCTCATCCCCGGCCCGTATTGATTGACATGTGCAGAGGGACGGCAGGCTGGCGTGCCAGGTTATCGGCAGGACGATTGACGACAACAACCTCTCACTTCCCGGAAGCTGACATGTAAACCGGTGACACACTCGGTCTTCCGCTGCGAGCGGCGGGACGCTGGCACCTCGCTCTGATCTCGTCATGAACAGGCCTGTTGTTGGCAGCTCACCCACCAGCCTGTTACCTTGGATGGCACGTGAACAACACTGAGAGACAGAGAGAGGTCTGTCTGCACCGTGCGCTCCGGCTCATTCTCTCATCCAACTGCCGGCGTTCAGGCACAGCGGAGAGGAAGTTGTCGGATGAGGACATGCTGCAGCCTCGGCTGAATGGGCAGATTTCTCAGGTCAGTGAAGGAGAGAGGAGCAGATATGACTTCAGATCAGACTGTGCGCTTGTTGCTGAGTCTTTAAGATGGGCTGAGCAGTAACTCAGCATAGTGGAACATCAGTTATTTTACAAAGTTCATTCGTCCAAATTAATGATTTTAAGACAGGTTTTAATGTGTTTTAAACTTATAATGTGTGATGTGTTCGCTGCTCAGGGTCCCATGTCTTTTGTCCTGGTGGAGATTCCTTCATGGTTCATTGTTCAGGAGGTTTTTGCCAGGAGCCAAATTATCCACAGAGGTCTCTTTCTCTGTAAAACAAACAGACCTGATGATTTAAACCAGTAGAAACACTGAATAAAGCAGGTTGTGTTAAAAATCAGTGTTTCTCAAAAGCAGTTTGGCACACCAGGGGCTGGAGCTGAGCTGCAGCTATTGTTGCTCTGCTTGTTTCTCTGATAACTTAAAATCCAGATGTTCAGGAGGTCTTTACAGTGAGCCGAATTATCCACAGAGGTCTCTTCTTCTGTAAAACAAATGGATTGTTTGGTTAAAACTGGTAAAAACACTGAATAAAGACGTTGAATGTTAAAAATCAGTGTTTCTTTAATGTGGTTCTGCATGGCAGGACGCTAAAGTTTGCTCTGCTTGTTCTCTGATAACTTCAGATCCAGACGTCTGATGACTAAAATCCTTCTCCTGGTTAAGACAGAGTTAAAAACGACCAAACAATGTGGTGTAAACTGGATAAAAAGTCAATTTATGAAGCTTCTGGCAGACACCCACAACGCTGACGCATGACGCCACTGACAGGCAATGACGGCCAAATGACACGGACACTGACCTTGATTAAAATTACATGTTCTCTGGGTTTGAATATTGTAACTCAACAAAATATTTAACATTAGTCATTCACAATTCAGGGATGCAGCAAGTAATTCCTGCTGATAAATGGTGATAAAAGCTTGCCACAGTTTGCCAGAATCAGAGCGTAACGTCTTCACATGTCCAAAACCCCCAAATATTGTTTATTATCACATACAATGAAGAAAAGAAGCGAATTCTCAAAGTTTAGAAGCTGGAACAAGAGAATATTTGATGTTTTTCAATTGATAATCAATAGACAACAGATGCCACTTTGTTTTCTGTCAATTAACTAGTTGATTAATTGATTATAACTTACTCCTACATTTCTGTGTTCCTGTGAGGGGTAGGGGTGTCCCAATTCCTTTTTGCGTGTAGGGGTAGGGGGCATAACGAGGGCTAGTGGGTATGAAACTTGCTTCGGAGCGAGAGATGCTGACTTGGCTACCAACGAGCAAGAGACGGGGAAAAAAGTTCATACATAGCTAACGTTACTGTCGTCAGGTTGCTTGTTAGCTAGCTAGCTAGCTCGCACTATCTGGCGTCTGTCATCTGTCTTGTTCTGCAAAATTGTCAGATTTTTCACATTACGATAACACGCCAGCTAGTAAAACTATGCTGCCTCGTAATGTTAGCTGGTTAGCTAGCTGTCTAGCTAGCAGAAGTCCCCTGTCGAGACTCCATTGTAGATGCTGGTTGGAAATGTAGATGGCTCGCAACTTCCTGTTTAAAATAGTTACGTATGCGTGAACGTAACTGATGCGGTGACGTAGTGAGTGGTGTCCCAATTCCTAGGGAAAGATTTCAACCCCTACCCCTCGTTGCTTCATTTCGAGGGCCAAGGGGTAGTGGACGAGGGCCAAGGGGTAGGGCCAATGGCTAAGGGGGGTAGGGCCAGTGCCTAAGGGGTAGGGCCAATGGCTAAGGGGGGTAGGGCCAGTGCCTAAGGGGTAGGGCCAAGGTCTAAGGGGGTAGGGCCAAGGTCTAAGGGGGTAGGGCCAAGGGCTAAGGGGGTAGGGCCAAGGGCTAAGGGGGTAGGGCCAAGGACTAGGGGTAGGGCCAAGGGCTAGGGGTAGGGTCAATGGCTTAGGAGTAGGGCCAAGGGCTAAGGGGGTAGGGCCAAGGACTAGGAGTAGGGCCAAGGGCTAGGGGTAGTGGACAAGGGGAGGTATTTGGATTGGGCCTTAGTCTGGCCCCTACTCTGGGACCACTGTGCCTTGGGAGACCCAACCAGGGGCTGTTAGCCCTGGACAACACAGCTCCCAGGATCAAAGGGACATGCAAACCCCTCGACCACGTTAAGGTGACGATTCTCGGAGGAGGTCTTGTTCACAATTAGGGTAGAACGGAGCATGAGATGGATCGGCGGTTTGGCTCTGAGGTGCTGTCGTGAAGAGGGAGCTGGGCCAGAAGGCAAAGTTTTCGATTTAGTGGTCCATCTACGTCCCAACCCTCACCTATGGTCATGAACTCTGGGTAGTGACTGAAAGAATGAGAACGCAGATACAAGCGTCTGAAATGAGTTTCCTCTGTAGGGTGTCTGGGCTCAGCCTTAGAGATAGGGGGAGGAGTCAGACATCTGGAGGGAGCTCGGAGTAGAGCCGCTGCTCCTTCATGTTGAGGTGGTTCAACATCTGATCAGGATCCTTCTCCCGGTGGAGGTGTTCTGGGCACGTTCCTCTGGTAGGAGGCCCCGGGGCAGACCCAGAACACACTGGAGGGATTACATATCTCATCTGGCCTGGGATCACCTCAGGGTCCCCCAGGAGGAGCTGGGAAGTGTTGCTGAGGAGAGGGACGTCTGACCCGGCCCCGGATAAGTGGATGAAAATGGATTGATGGAAGTTTTTATAGATTGAACCACTGATGGAGGACAAGCTGTGAGATTGATCAGTGTATAGGCATGTACTCGTTAGTTGCGGCCCCGCATCATGTCAGGAGGAAGGAGCTGTAGAGGAACAGTCGGTACGATTTTATGAATGTGGTGTTTTTTCCTGCCTGCACAGAAATATTCCGAACATGGGGATGTTTGTATTTGTCCTTGTTTTGAGTCATGGGAATGTTTGCCAATGCAAAGAGGTTTGGAGAGCAGCTGCAGCTCAGTGAGTAATGCATTATGAGGCCGTTATGTAACACAACATGGTGGGAAGGCCACTGGTGCTTTTTCTTCGTCTTCTCTCTCCCTCTTTCACTTCACCTCCCTCTTTCTGCTCTCACCAACAAAAACCTCCGTCAGATGAAACAAGGCCTGATTTCATCACTGCGTGTTTGGGAGACAGTGTCAGTGTGTGTTTGCGGGGCATAACAGATTCCCCGAATGTCTCTGAACTCCTAATATTTGAAGTTAAATAATTAAGTCTAAACATTGTTGAGGTTACATGGTTATGTTGATTGTTTCAGTCGTCGTATTTAGCTGCAGGTTTATAATAAGCTCCAGTCCACCTGCGACCGCCAACAGGATCAGCGGTTACAGAAAATCAGCTTGAGGAACGTCGTGTTCAGAACCTGCCGTTCTGTTTCAAACTTATTCTTGGCACAACTGGATCCTGTCCCAGCAGCAGGTCCAGGAACAGTCATGCTGGTCAGTTGTGTCATATCACTCCTCGTCGCGCTGTTACTCACTGTCACCGACACACACACACACACACATAGACACACACATGCTGTCACGTTGTTGTCGTTTTCATGTCGGAGGAATCTGCTGTGTGACGCGTCAACAGATGAGACACTTGTTGCTCCCTGCAGATGGTCGTATGTGGAGGTTTTTTTTTTTTAACTCTGCAGTTTTTGTTTCAGTTACGCAATCCTCTGTATTTATAGTGTGACGAGTCTTTGTCGCTCATTCTGCAGTCGTGTCTTTACATTTTGATTTGAAACCCTGCCGCACAGATAGTTCTCAACTTTGGGAAACAGTCAATGAGGCAACGTCAGAGGTAACATCCAGAGCTCAGTGGTAGGAACCACTTTTATGTGGCATTTTACTGGCAGGTAGCACAGCGATGTCTTTGTAGAAAAATTCTTCTAGTGTCAGTGTTCCAGCAGGACGCACAGCAGCGTCTAGGGTTAAAAACAACCGCTCTTTGTGGCACTATAGTGGCAGGAAACACAATGATGTCTTTTTAGAGGGCAACTTATTTTCGTTGCACTATCCCGGCAGGAAACGTGGCAATGTCTTGGTCAAAAACAACTGCTTTCTGTGGCACTGTTGTGGCAGGAAACACTGTGATGGCTTGGTGAAAGCAACTGCTTTTTCAGTCAGAGAGCATCGCCCGGTGTCTGACCCTCTACCAGGGACCAGGGGGCCTGGTGTAAGGGATTAACACAGCTGGGTGTCTCACACACACACACACACACACACACACACAGCTGAAATGCGTCCTGATAAGTTGTGTCGTCTTTAAATCTTATTAAGTGGTTTATAACTGGAAGCTTGTTTGTGACCAGAGTCATGAAGCTAAACTTTAGTGCTACAGTGAACACACTCTCTCTCTCTCTCTCTCTCTCTCTCTCTCTCTCTCTCTCTCTCTCTCTCTCTCTCTCAGTCATGGAGGACGAGTGTTGTGCTTGTGCTGAATATGTTCTCTCTGCTGGTTTTGTTTCTCGGGCACCACACAGGAGCTTTTATCACCAAACAAAAGAGACGAGCAGAATCTTTAAACGAATGCATGATGAGCAGATTTGCTGAGTCACAGGGTGATGAAACCTCCACAGCCGTCTGTGCACCAACACACACTCTCACAGACACTACACACTGATGGCCCAGATTACAGAGACCGGACTGCACCGTGAACTGAGCATCAGCTGCTCTCTGTAGTTGAGACACCAGGGCCTCACACTGAGACACTGGGGCCCCGGGCACAGACGTGTTAGAGGCCCCATCACCCCTCCATACACAATGACACACTGAGTGTGGGCTGGTTCTGTCTTCTTTTGTTGTTTTGTGTCTCTTTGTGGTAGTTTTGTGTCTCTTTGAGATTGTTTTGTGTCTCTTTGTGGTTATTTTGTGTCTCTTTGTGGTTATTTTGTGTCTCTTTGTGGTAGGTTTGTTTCTCTTTGAGGTTGTTTTGTGTCTCTTTGTGGTTGTTTTGTGTCTCTTTGTGGTTATTTTGTGTCTCTTTGTGGTAGTTTTGTTTCTCTTTGAGGTTGTTTTGTGT